GTGTGGCCCAAAATTAGGGTCCCCTTTTCTGCCCGCCCCGGCCCCTAATTGCCTTGGGCCCCCGTACCCCCTTTCCCCATGCTGCCCGCCCCGGTCCGGTCTTCATGGGGCCCCTGTTCGGCCTCCCCCTTTCTGCGGGCTCCATCGCCACACCTGCCATGTGCCACTTTCAGGTCTCCAAAACACTTGGGGCTGGTGTGTTCCTTTTTTTGTCATAGGGAGCTGACGGATTTACGGGCCTCCCATTGCTGCTGGCCAGGCCCCTAATCCTGCATGGCCACTGTACGCCTCCTCATGCTGCTGCCAGGTCCACATGTCTCATGCCATGTGCCACTGTCAGTCTCCTCACACTGCTGGTGTGTTCCATTTTTTGTACATAGGGTGAGCTGGCAGATTACGGGCCTCCCATAGCTCTTGCCCTAGCCCCTAAGTCTGCCATGCCCCTGGACCCACGCCTCCTCATGCGGCTGCCAGGTCCCAGCGTCTCTCTTGGGTCCCTGTACGGCCTCCATTGCTGCTGCCAGGAGAGGCACAGCAGGGTCGCCAGCAGTCGTCAGTGGAGGCTTTTTTTTTTTTTTTTTTTTTTTTTCGGGGCCTCGGAGTAGGCACCAGCTACTCACTGCAGAGTCTACCACCACGGCCAGTATGAGTGGTGTCGGTGTGCTCGGAGGATGTAGCAGTCAGTCCAGTGAGGAGTTAGCGGGTGGCAATAGTTTTCCTACTCTCGGCGGTGTGGCAATTTTTTCGTCTCGCAAGCCGCCTGAGGACAGTCAAACGTAGCCTGGTCCAATGTGTCCTCATGACTATGTGGCAGAAATGTCAAGGTTCTGGTCCAGGGGTTCTCCATGTTTGGGGACTACAGCGTTGCGGGCAGCATAGCTGCACACATGGTCGCCATTGCGGTGGCCCTGGGAAATACCTCGTGATTAAAAAGATACGGCAGGTTCTGCCTGCCCCAGGCCCAGGGTTCCATTGCTTGGTCATAGGGTGCTGGCATTGTGATTAGGGCCTCACCATTGCTGGTGTGTTCCAGGGATTAATCTGCCATAAGGGTGGGCCCCTGTTTACTGTCCTCCCTCCCATGTCTTCTGCAGGGCACAGTGTCTAATGCCAAGGTCCTGTACCGCCACCATTGCTGCTATCTCTCATCAGGTCCACTCTCTGCCATGTGCCACTTTCAGGTCTCCTCACACTGCTGGTGTGTTCCATTTTTTTTGTCATAGGGTGCTGCCAGATTACTGGCCTCCCATTGCTGCTGCCAGGCCCGTAATCTGCCATGGGCCCCTGTACCGCCTCCTCATGCTGCTGCCAGGTCCACTTGATCTCTCATGGGGTCCCTGTACGGCCTCCCATTGCTGCTGTCTCCATCGCCACACTCTGCCATGTGCCACTTTCATGTCTCCTCACACTCTGCTGGTGGGTTCCCTTTTTTGTCATAGGGTGCTGGCAGATTACGGGCCTCCCATTGCTGCTGCCAGGCCCGTAATCTGCCATGGGCCCCCCCCCGTACCGACTCCTCATGCTGCTGCCAGGCCCGTAATCTGTCATGGGCCCCTGTTGTTGCTTGTTGGCATATTCCGCTCGTTCAGATGCTCCTTCTCCTGCTACTCCTCTTCACGGATTCCGTCAGCAGTCTTTCTTGGAATCAGTTTCCAAGAGACAACAGTTTGCGAGCACGCACCCGACGGTGCAGAAGCTGAACGTTCTCCTGTCCAAGTTGCTGCTGCCAGGCTCGTAATCTGTCGTGCGCCCCTGTACCGCCTCCTCATGCTGCTGCCAGGTCCAGAGTGTGTCATGGGCCCCTGTACCGACTCCTCATGCTGCTGCCAGGCCCGTAATCTGTCATGGGCCCTTGTACCGCCTCCTCATGCTGCTGCCAGGTCCAGAGTGTGTCATGGGTCCCTGTACGGCCTCCCATTGCTGCTGCCAGGCCCGTAATCTGCCATGGGCCCCCGTACCAACTCCTCATGCTGCTGCCAGGCCCGTAATCTGTCATGGGCCCCTGTACCGCCTCCTCATGCTGCTGCCAGGTCCACAGTGTGTCATGGGTCCCTGTACCGCCTCCCATTGCTGCTGTCTCCATCGCCACACTCTGCCATGTGCCACTTTCAGGTCTCCTCACACTGCTGGTGGGTTCCATTTTGTCATAGGGTGCTGTATGGCCTCCCATTGCTGCTGCCTCCACCGCCACACTGTGGCTCCACACTCTGGTTTTGGCCCCGTGACTGCCCATATGAGTGAAGTGTGCGGTGATTCTAAGATCGACGGCACTCATCTGCATGCCATGCCATACTGACTGACAGTATTATTTCTCTTCCCCAGCAGACTCCAAGGGCATTTAAATTAAAGGTACAGTGTTTTGCACTAATATAAAGGCTCTCTGAAGACTAGAAACACCCTTTTATAAGTTAAATTCGCAGCGAATATATTCGACTCGAATCGAAATTTTTTCACGAATTCGCCGAATCAGTCGAATCAAATTTTTGAATAATTTGCTCATCTCTAGTTATGGCAGCAGTTCTGGACCGAACGCAGTTGCCACTATGCTTCATCTCACGCATGCTGACAGTTCACATGCATAGGAAGCCATGCTTGGGGTCATGAGATGCGAGCAGCTAGCTGCTGATGGGGTGTGTAAGCTGTTGCTACACCAACATGTTTCAAAGGGTGAATTTTTATCAAGTTTAATGTTCATAACTGACACACACCATCAACAATTTTAATTAGAGATGACAATCTTGTGTTTACAGGTAACAACAGAGATGCTGGTTAACCCTCTTTCTGTTTTGTTTTTTTTTACTATATATTTAACTATGATCATGTCTGCAGCAAATTCACCAAGTACTATAGTATAATAGGATCCTTATAAGATTTCTCCCACCATATTGGAAGACCTAAATGCTCTGTTTGATTGGGCAGCTATACGGCATATGAGGTTTAATGGTGAAAAACATGCATGTATCAACTAGGGGAGTCAATATTTTAGAAGGATCTGGGAGTTCTGGTAGATCATAGACCTAAAGGGATATTAAACACAATTTTTTTTTTGAATTACTATGGATTCTGACATTTTCCATCTTTCAAACTGAACAAGCATGCTACTACTCAAAATCAGACACAACCAGGCACTTTTCAGAAGAAAGCCAGCCTACTAGACATGCACAGAATGAAAAGTTTGTTAAGTTACTAATTTTGTTTTGTTACATTTGTAAAAAAAATTTGCTTTTCTTCATCTATTCAAAATATCTGATCCGAATTGTGAACAATAGCTGGTTTTATTCTAAATGACAATAATGAATCTTGTGCGCTTCTATGAATCAACAAACTTGCCCTTAATGAGCATGAGAAAACATTAATTATTAATAAATATTACTGTGACTGTAGCAGCTATTGCACACTCCCCCTATCTCATAAAGGTGAACACAATGATATTTTGAAAACCAGTGCAGCTACAAATCATGAAACCAAAGTGTATAAAAATAAAATAAAGGGTTCAGAATATTTAGTGTGCATAAACCAAATATGCACAAAAAATTAAAAGTCCAAACTGATTTCTTTGTGGTGTCCCTCCTTATGTGATCACCAAGTGCTTCAACCACAATAGTGCATAATTCTACCACCAGATGTCTGCTCAACTCCAGCACTGTGACCTCACATTATATTATGTTTTGTCTAACTGCACTTTTGGTCCCACATTGGACACTGAAGATCAACTTGATGGATTAAGCTGTTGTCCCGGGTTCAGAGTACACTTCTCACCACCATAATACCTCATAAATAAAAAGCTTTACATAAAGCGTAAACATTAAAACATTTTATTGTAAACAAAACCATAGCCAAATGCACACTCACCTGAAAAAGGTGTAAGAATAGTGCAGCGCTAAAAGGTATATACACCAGTCTGGTAATAATGTATCAATATAAAACGATAAAATGATAATAATAATATTAAAATTAGTGATAGTTCGTGGTAGGTGATTGGTACAGGAGTTGATAGTGACTTCATGATCCAGTGGTGTGATAAATAGTAAAAATACGCACTCACCAGATGCGTATCTTTCAATACGCATATAATCAATAAAACCAGAGGTCCCCCTCATGGGATGGGATAGATGAGCTGAGCTGTCTTAACGGACTCTCCTCCCTCTGAATAATGGGCAGCCAAACGGTCGTCTCTCTCTGGAAAATGTGCAGGGAATTCGGCAGCTTACACTGGAACCAACGTCCTCCTCTGGAATGGGTGTCATAAATACTACAACTCCTTGTGTCTTGAGACATGGGCTCTGGAAACGAATGTTAGCTCACCAGGGAGCCAACAAAAAATTGCCCATAGTGTAGTAATTTAAAAAATAGATTTATTATTCCACGTGGTTAGAGAACATAAAATAAAGTTAACAAGTGTACAAACAAATTGTATACTGACCAATGTACGGTAAAAAGATGGCCACCGGACCTGTGATAGGTACCAGTGTCAAGACGTCACGGCGTAATGGCCCCTTTAATGCGTTTTGTGCGATTGCACTTTATCAGAAAGGATGGCCAGAATTGCAAACCCACAAAGTCCTTATTATGTATGTCTGAGAAATGTTTAGGTACAAATATTACGAACATGTTCCTTAACCCTTTTTTTTAATGTCCTTTTTGTGTGTCCCACATATTGAAATCCACATGGGCATGAAAGGGCATATACAACTCCTTTCGTATCACAAGACACAAAATCTTTAATAGAACACTCCTTCCCTGTAACAGAACTAGTGAAAGTTTTCCTTCTTCTGTGGTTATTCTTAACCCTAGTACAGCTATAAACACCTATCACTGGCAAAAAAAAAAACCTTTCTATTCCAATCTATTCTATTTTTTTCTATTCTCTTATTTTCTATTCTATTCTTTTATAATCTATTTTATTCTATTCTTTATTACAATGTCGGAAGATGGCTATATTCTTTCTATTCTATTTTTTTCTATTCTAATCTATTGTATTCTTTTATTTTTTATTCTATTTAATTGTTTTCTATTCTTTTCTAAATTGGAATTTCAGAAAACAGATATATTATTTCTATTCTATTCTAATCTATTTTTTTTTTATTCTATTCTCTTTTCTATTCACTAGTTTCTATTCTTTACTATTCTATTCATTATTTTCTATTCTATTCCTTTATTTTCTATTCTATTCTGTTTTACTCTATTCTTTTCTAAATTAGAATTTTGGAAGACAGCTATACTCACTAGCCACTTTATTAGGTACACCTTGCTAGTGCCAAGAAAATATCCCCCTACACCATTACACTACCACCACTAGCCTGAACCATTGATACAAGGCAGGATGGATATATGTTTCATGTCATTTAGGCCAAATTCTGACCCTACCATCTAAATGCTGCAGCTGAACCAGCCTGTCTATTCTCTCACCTCTGACATCAACAAGGTATTTTCTCTTTTTTTTAACCATAACCTGTAAACACTAGAGATGGTTGTGTGTGAAAATCCCAGTAGATCTGCAGTTTTTGTGATACTCAGACCAGCCTGTCTGACACCAACAACCATGCCACGTTCAAAGTCACCTAAATCCCCTTTCTTCCCCATTCTAATGCTTGGTTTGAACTTCCGCAAGTCGTCTTCACCGTGTCTACATGCCTAAATGCATTGAGTTGCTGCCATATGATTGGCTGATTAGCAATTTGTGGTACCAAGCAATTGAACAGTGTCCAGGCAGTGTATATTCTTTCTATTTTTTTTCTATTCCATTTGAAATTCTAAGCTAGAAAAACGGCTGCATTCTTTCTATTTTATTCTCTTTTTTTCTATTCTATTCTGTTTTTATTCTATTCTTTTCAGATTGGATTTTGAAAGACAGCTATATTCTTTTATTTTATTATATTCTATTGTAATCTATTATTTTACTTTCTATTCTATTCTTATCTAGTTTTTCTGTTTTAATCTATTCTATTCTTTTCAAAAACAGCACTAGTCAGCAATGTGTTTACATTCTGAAATCTGTGTTCGAATTTGATTTCAACTCCATTTAGAATTTGCTTCTATTCTAATTTCATTTCATTATTACAAATTTGTTTAAATTCATTACTATTGTAATCCGGAAATTCAGACACATCCAAATCTCTTAATAATGAAAATTGTGTCCGATTTTCGATTCGGAACTTAATGAAACGCACATGTCTACAACCTACATATTTCTCTTAAGATGGGTTTGCTTTACAGTGACTCCAATGTCAAATATGCAGATCATGCAGGGAACAGTGGATATTGTTATACACCATAAAATACAATAATAAATGTAATACAATAACAGCAAAGCCAAACATATAAGGTCGCCACATCACTTTTCATCCTGTCTGTTTGACATTCAGTATGATCTTGATTGATACATACGTCATAGGAAATCTTTAATAACATAAAACAACCAATGATATGTTTAATGAATCTCTATTCTTCCTTGTAACTTTTACTGGTTTCTAAGAATGGATAGAAAAGCATTAACATAATTGTTTTTTTTTCTGCTGATTAACTGACCTATATACTGTAGCTGCATATGTTAAAAAGCCACCCCACTGTGTTTAACCAAAAGACACAGTTTTCAAAACCCTAAGGCATAAAACGCAAACTTTGCTTTAACTGGGTGACAGCCTTTCCTGATATCAAAAAGCAATCAAACATTCCCTTAATCAACAACTTACAGTGAACCAGAACTAGCTTCTTTGGAAAACTATTCCACATTTTCACAGCTCTTACTGTAAAGAACCTTTTAAAAAGTAATTCAGGTAGTGCACTCCACTCATAACATACAGTAAGTAAGCACCCAAACCAAGGATAGTTTTATGTGCAACCACACGCTTTCTCGAGGTAAATAGGAAAAAAATGATATTTATGTATGTATTATTTTGCCGCTTACAATGTAAGATCATCCTGGATGTACTGTGGTACAATTAGTGAATTAGTTCACCTCAATGTACAAAAAAATAGGTCCTGCACAGGATTTCTAAAATGCACAACTACAACAAAATGCACAGAGCATTAGCAAACATGCATAGTGGTGCGCTAAAGTGCATTGTAGATAGGCATACACAGTACATTGCTGTAGTGAAGGTTATGGCATGTAGAAGCCAAGCAATTGTCTCTTGGCTAAATAATGTGTGATCAGTAGACGTGTGTGGTTTATTTCGTTCAGAATCAAAATTTGGATGCAATTTTCATTATTCAGAAATTCAGATGTATCTCCAAATACAATGGATTTCAACTAATCCGAAATAAATATTAACGAAATTCATTTGTTTCATTCGGATATTTGAAGCATCCAAAATGAACTGAATGATTAGAATTCATGCAATAATAGCAAGTTGTCAAGGAGTGGGGCGGCT